CCCCAGCCTCCGGGACTGGTTTCAGCACATGTTCAGTGCTTGCTGAATAGACACGTGTGCAATTAGTCAAGAGCTAAATTTTACAAAAGGAGCTATTTTCAGAATCTAGTTATACCATATTCTTAAGATAATCTAGATATCTTATTTTGCTTATGATAATCTTTATGATAAAACTATGCTTATTAGTACGAGCAAAATTCTTTGTCTGATACTCCCAACAACCCCATGAGCAAGGTAGAAGGTACTTATCTCGTTTTACAGAGAAGGAACCCAAGTGAGGGAGCTTGGGTAAACTGCTACGGTGGAACGGAGTGACAGTTTAGGTTATCTGACCTCAGGGCACCTATGCTTGATTATTCCGCTTGCTGCTTTAACACTCTGGGCGACTTTAGCCGGTATTCTCTAGAAATAAGCAACAGGGGTGGACAAGGTTAGAAATAACTTTTTAAGTACCTGTTGGAAACATGGAAAAAGAAATAGAAATGCACTTGGATGAATCAGTGATTTTTTTAAAGTCTGTAGCTATAAGCTAATTAACTCCTAGCCAAAGTGAGAAAAGAAAGGCTTTTTATTTTGTCGTTAATATGTTAAACTCTGTTCTTGTTAGATATAATACAGAAAACACAAAGACAATTGTGCAGCTAAGTGCATTGTTCCAAGGTGAGCACCTCTAAGCCACCGGCCCTGTGAGGAGGGAGAAACAGGCAGGACATTGCCTCCGCATAAGCCTGACCACTTCTCTGACTTGTTTGGTGATCACCTTCTCATTGCCAACGTGAGCATCCCCAGACACTGTAACTGAATTTCGCCTGTTTATCTTTACGTAGTCCTTTCCAGTTTATTTTAATCTGTAAGTGCTTCCATCACTCCCTGTCGCTGAAGAAATGGAATAATCCTATAATACAGGGTTTCTCAGCCTCAGCATTACTGACATTTTGAGCAGGATAATTTTTCTTGTGGGGGTTGTCTTATGCGTTATAGGATGTTTAGCAGCATCCCTGGGCTCTACTCACTAGATGCCAATAGCATCCCCTTGCCAGTTGTGACAACCAAAAACATCTCCAGGTACTGCCAAATGCACCTTGGGGCTAAACTTGCCTCCAACTGAGAACCATTGCTGTAGAGTTTCCCTCAGTCCTCTTAATCTTCTGAAAATTGGATCTTGGATGAGAGTCTTAACCAGATTCAGATTCAATTTTTGTGTTTCTTTTATTCATTGTTAAGACTACTTCCTAGGTGGTGGTGTGTACTTCCCCCAGGAGGCACATAATGTCTGTAATTTCTCTTTCTGTGATGCTAGCCACCATTGATGCCAGTGCCTAGATCCTTTGTAAGGGGTTGCAGGATGTTGACATGCCAATTCTGTCATTCCCTAGCCATTGATTTGTGAGAACATCTGTATAAAGAGAAGCCTGCCTTAGCTACAATTTGGGTGCCAGTATGGTCTGAATGGGAAAGGTATGATACAGGTTTTCCATTCTCCTGGAATGCCTTTCACCTAACAGCCAGCCTTTACCATTCTTGCCATTTAGACACACTCTCAGCTTTTAAGACCCAATTTATCAGATGAGTTGGGACCAGTGTGACCCCTGACATCAATGACCTCATAAGGTCAGCCAGTGCTCCTGTGCTGCTCAGGCTCAGTATGAAACGTATCATGTTGGGCATAATCATTGGTTGTGATTGGTTCCCATGTCTGCTCTCACTAGGAAGTGAGGAAAGACTGTCTCTCACTCTTCCTTCATCTCACTACCTAGATTTGGACCAGGCAGCCTGGTACCTTGGAAAAAGCACACGCTTGGCAGTGAGACAAAACTGGACACAAACTCCAAATCTGAAAAGTAGCTGCTGGGTAATTCCAGCGAGACACTCGAAGTTTTGGGGCTTCAGTGTATTACTTGTCAAAATATTAAAAGTAAGATCTCACAGAGCTGCTTTTCAGGATCAAGTCATTTGGAACAGTGCTTATGGGAGACACATTCACTACAAGTATACGGTGTGCTTTCCTATGGAAAAAGTATGTCCTGTTTAAGGAACACTTACTATGGGCCATGCTCTACTACGTGTGCCCCTTGTGTGCCTTCTCATTTGATCCCCCTGCAGTGCCCCTATCCTGTGTGGTAGGTGAAGAAAATGAGGTTTACCACAGTTAAGTGGCCTGTCCAAAACTTCCAAGCTGATGGTGGGTTGACTCTAGACTAAACTCAGACCTTCCTGATGCTAAAATCCATTCTGTTATCCACTGTGCATCCTGCCTTTAACTGGGTGTTAAGCTCTGAATGAATGGATGGATGAACAAATGACTAAATGAATGGATATAAGAAGATGATGCTAGAAGTTTATTATCAAATAATTCTTTCTCCCCAGAGGGCCTCTTTTTCCTGAAATTCAGTTAAATCTGGGCTTTTCATTTCACATTAAGGTTGAGGCAAGAAGGAGCAGAGCCGTGATTTGCATGTGGATGTTGGGGGAAAGTAGCGTGTCAGGTCCCGTCTGGCTCCTGTGACTGTCCGGTGGTATGGTTTGCATGCTTCTCACCTGTGCTCACACACTGCCTAGCACTATTTTCTAACCAACTCTTCCCCCTCTTATGATGAGGGGCTCACTGGTCTACACAGTCCTATTGTCAGCATAGTGCCCTGGGTGAGGCCTATGTCCCTGCCTCTTCCTTTCTACACAGCTATTACCTGTTAAAGGGTGAGTTTCCTAGTTGTCACCTGGGCAGACAGTGGAGCTGGGAACCTGGCCAGATGTCAGGGTGCCCTAGAAGGAATTTAAGCCGGCATGGCCCAGGAAGCTGAACCTTCTTGAAAAGGATGTGGGTGGACAAGCAGCCCTGTGGTTTCCTCCAGGGGGTGGGGATCTCCTGTCCACAGCCTCTGAGTGGGACCTCATCCAAGTGGGAAGGGGAGAGACTGTTAGGTGAACTCCCACTGAAATGGGAAGCAGCAGCACCGGGCGTGGTGCGTGGACCAGAGCGGGTCATCGGCACCTCTCTCTTCTTTGTCCCCCTCCCTGTCGGGGATGCTACATGGACTTTGTGTGACATTTCCTGGAACCCATTCTGGGTTCACACTACAAGTCACATCTACGTTTTCAACACAAGTTCATTTCAAAACACATTAGTGAACTATACAGCTATTTGAAATCAAGTTTTATTTCAGAATATATTCAGAGTGAAGATTTTTGAGTGATACGATGCCTTTATGGTTTGCAGAATACAAAAAAAAAAAAAAAAAAAAAGTGCCCAGGCTCCCTTTGGGATGTTCTGGGTTTTGATCTAGCAGATAACATTCTACTCTGATAGACAAAGTCATCCACCATTTTGATCGGCTCTATTGTATTGCAATCGATAGCAGATACTCTCCCTACCTACCTTGTGTGACCCATCCTAGCATTACTATTATACTGAGTGGCTCATCTTTGCAATACCATTAAATTTTCATATCAATTTTTAGGATATGTAGTTTGATGGATCAATTTAAGTATTTAAGAGAAATAATAGAATAGTGAATACAGAGAGGCTTGTATTTGCAGTATTATCCAATATGAAATATATTCAATATATAAAAATTATATATATGTGCATTTTCGTATATAAAAGCAAATCATTTGAGAAATGAGTTTTACTAAGAAAATACAATACAATTCTATCTGGCAAGGATTTATGGAGGAATGATTATATCCCGGGCTCTGCCATTCCATAAAGTGCTGGAGATACAAAGATGAATAAAGTAGGACACCTGTCCTAATGGAGGTCATGGTACATCCGGGAGCCAGGCATGTGAAGAAACAACCATAAAGGAAAAAAAAACAAATCACAAAGTAAAGAATGGACAAATTAAACTGCCAGCTTTTGTACATCAAAAATATCATAAGCGGACTTCCCTGGTGGCGCAGTGGTTAAGAATCCGCCTGCCAATGCAGGGGACACGGGTTCAAGCCCTGGTCCGGGAAGATCCCACATGCCACAAAGCAACTAAGCCTGTGTGCCACAGCTACTGAGCCTGCGCTCTACAGCCCGCAAACCACAACTACTGAGCCCATGTGCCACAACTACTGAAGCCTGCGCACCTAGAGCCCGTGCTCCGCAACAAGAGAAGCCACTGCAATGAGAAGCCCGCGCACGGCAACGAAGAGTAGCCCCTGCTCGCCACAACTAGAGAAAGCCCGTGCACAGCAACGGAGACCCAACGCAGCCAAAAATAAATAAATTTATTTTTTTAAAAAATCATAAGCAAAATTATGACTAAAGAGCAAATCTGGGACATACTCAAAACTAATATGATCTAAAGAAGTATTTTAATATCTGAATACACAGCTCTTGCAAGTGGATAAGAAAAAAATACCATCACCCCAATGGAAAACAGGGGAAAGCCCTGGGCTTCTGCCACAGAGGCTTCTCATTTAGCCTCTGCCACAGATTCCCCAAATGGTATTATTGATAGTTTTGCTTTGTTCCTTCAGTTTTCTCCCCTGTGCTGAGAGGCTCTGAACTCCCTCTGAGTGGCTGATTCTAGGGTCCCACCACAGGAGCATTCACTCATTACCTACCTCATGATCTCAGTGCAAGTACGGCAGGAGGCAGCGGCTGATAAATGCTTGATGGCTGGTTCATCAAAGCGTCTGTTACAGGGCTTCCCTGGTGGCGCAGTGGTTGGGACTCCGCCCGCCGATGCAGGGGACGCCTTCGTGCCCCGGTCCGGGAAGATCCCACATGCCGCGGAGCGGCTGGGCCCGTGAGCCATGGACGCTGAGCCTGCGCGTCCGGAGCCTGTGCTCCGCAACGGGAGAGGCCACGGCGGTGAGGGGGCCCGTGTACTGCAAAAGAAGAAGAAAAAAAAAAAGTCTGTTAGATTAGAATTCTTTACGTTTTGAGACTGATAACACCATCCTATAAAGTTTCTGGGAAGTTCTTGAAGAAAATATCTGTTTCTTCCAGTGTGACAGGGGATTTTTTACAACTGTACTTTAGTGGGAGAGTCCATGGTTTCCTCTGGGGACTCTCTATCCCTTTATTAGGGTAATAGCATAATATGAAACACAGTTAGCCCTCTGTATCCACTGCATTCATGGATTCAGACAACTGCAGATCAAAAGTACTTGGAAAACAATTCCAGAAAGTTCCAGAATTCAAAGCTTGAATTTGCTGCATGCCAGCAACTATTTACATAGCATTCACGTTGTATTTACAACTATTTACATTATATTAGGTATTATAAGTAATCTAGAGATGATTTAGAGGGGTTGTCTGTAGATTATACGCAAAATCTGCACCATTTTATACAAGGGACTTGAGCATCCATGGATTTTGGTATCCGCAGGTGGGGTTCCTGGAACCAGTCCTCCTCAGATACCAAGGGACAACTGCAGTGTTTTTGCTGATGCTAATACTGAAGGTATTCTACCCCCACTGATATATTAAGTGCTCCTGCTGCCACCAGGAACACTGATGTATCACATGTCTCAAGCAGAAGGCGGAGGTTTTGAGCTCAATAAATATATTCATATTTACTCCATAGCAGGGGTCTGTGAATTGTTTTTCTACACATGGAAACAGCAGAGTGAGGGCAAGAAACTGTGAAGTCTTGTAGACAAACACCATCACAGATTTAGCTCCCTTGATTTCACTCTCAGTGTTGGGGAGATTCCTTTGACTTTTATATATTGTCAGGATATATATCTATATCTAGGGATAGACATGGAAGTGATTTCCAGAAGAACGAACAGACGAGGCCATAATTTGCTTTCAGTGATATGCATCTCCTGGGGGCGGGGGTTTCTCAAGCAGGTGATTATAGTCCGAGAATCCGAGGATCAACATAATTGCCACCTTCTGCTTCAGAAACACTTGAACTAAATGTCTCTGTGTTTCCATACCTGTGAATGATGTGGACGTGGGTGTTAAGCACACAGAGAACGTACAGATGCATTTCTGGCCAACGTAAATTGAAGTGAAAATATTTGAGAAGAGTAGGCTTTATCCTTGATAGGAAGAGGTAAGATGCTGCAAAGTCTTGAAGATGAATAGAAGAGTGAACTATATAATGTTAAAGCTGTTTTATCTGTCCCATCAAATATATGGGAAGCTTGATATTGCTGAGTTCTGTAGCTGTCTAATGACTTAATATTTAATTTAAAAGGATTTCCTCCTTTAAGCTTGTGGTGTTGATTGTAAAAACCTGTACACTTCCTTTTAAGGTACCTCATAATTCACTGTTTTCATTGTCTTGACTGCAAGAAACTTGTTAGGATACTGTGTGGGTGAGATGTACCATCTACTAATTTTATTTTTCCTTTCTTTTCTCAGTTGCCATTGTGTTTTTGCATTTGAGTACCACATGTATAATCAGCCTATGCAATACCTTCAGTTTCATTGTTATTAATTATCCTCTTTACATTAAATTTTCACTTTTCCGCCACAGGCGCCTTATGGTAAAAAAAAAACACATTTTCTTCTGGAGCCAAGAAAGGAAGTACACACATGTAATGAGCTTCTGTATCGTGCCAGGCTCTTTGCTCCATTAGCTCATTTCACCCCTGTGTAGTCATCAATAAAGATGCTTATACCCATTTTTTCCTCAGATAAGAAAACTGACATTTAAAGGGATTAAGTGATTTTCAGGTGTTCATACGTTGGAATGGTAGAGTCGGAAGTTACACCTGCCGGTGGCTTTACTTCTTCGTGACCTTTGCATAGAGTGTTTGCTGAGGAATAAGAGCCTACGGGATATTTTTTTCCACTTAGAAATAACGTGGTGTTACGGAAAGTGTACGGAATGTGCAGTCAGGCAGGTCTAGGTCCCATTTATGCTCCTGATTCTCCCTAGATGCCTGCTGGAGATTGGTTAGACTCTCTTGAGTCTTAGTTGCGCCTTAAAAAATGGGGTTGGCCAGAGCTCTCTTTCCATGTGTCTGCAGGATTAGAAATACCACTCTCCCAGGATGGGCTGGATCAGAGGGAGCTATTCTTCTCTCTCTCTTTTTTTTTTTTTTTCTCCACCCATCCTCCGTTTTTTCAGTCTGTGAGCCATTGATGGAGGTTATTGATGGCTTCTCCAGGTGGAAAAGCAGCTCAGTGAGCCCCAGAGAAGGAGGGTTTTCTTTTTTGGTCTGTCGGCATCACCCTGTAAAAGAGAAAAGAAAAAGCAAAGACAGCCATGCCTTTCAAGCCGGGATACAGGAATTGGAAGAGGGGTTTGTAGGCGATAAATCAAAGAAAATAGTCTAGAATTGGTACAAATGAAATTTGAGCTTAACAAGTGCTGGAGTGGTGAGGCAGGATTTGTGCTCCTTTCACTTGCGTGAAACGCAAGTACTATACCTCCAGGGGGAAGGCAGCTTGTTGGCAAATTCTCGGAGGCACAGCAGTACTAATCTCATCCCGCCAGGATCAGGGACTCATAGCCTTTCTCAAAGGCAGAGCTCTAGGCAGTCAAGGCCCCTTCTTTCCCGGCACACCTCCCTTACCAAAAATATCAGGTACTGTGTACTGAGCCCCACCACAAACCGGGCGCTCGACTACAACAGGGGAAAATTACAAACAAGTGTATATCCATGGAGCTCCTTATTAATGTTCAACTTCTTGGGTGCTTTTTTTGGACTTTGGGAAAGGTAATGTTATTGTTTGTGTATCATACAAAAGTACATATATATGAATTATCTCACAGCAACAATTTAACCTTCATGACAGTCCCCTAATCATGTACATTTTGTAGATGAGACCGCCTGTTCAGAGAGGTTAAACAGCTGCCTCAAGGTCACACAGCTATTTGGGACACAGCTGGTCCATTCAGTGCCATGTGGTCTACACTGGCTTTGCAGTAGCACCTTGTCCAGGGACAGTATCCTGGGAGCATCGGGCTGTGCCCGGTTCATCAAAAGAGATTAATCTGCAGGGCTGTATTGCTTGTTAGAGGTAGAGTCTCCTGAAATACCCTTTTAGCTATACTGTGAAAGCCAGTGATTCAAAGATCCTTGCCAAAGGATCATCATAAATCCTGTTTAGACAGAGAAATCCCTGAAGGAAGAAAGGTTCTTTGCAGGGGCCCACAGCCTGGAGCAATAGTGTCCAGAAGAGGGAAATTTGCAACAATGCTTGAATGAGAGCCAAGGGGCTTGTTTACATGGGCAGGGACACAGATGGCCTCCATAAGTAGGATTTGATGAAGAGTGCCCCTCCCCCCACAGGAGAGTGGGTAAGGGCTTTTGGACAGTGCTGCTGAGTGGCCACTGTCACATGTGGATTCTTATAATCCTCGGCCTGAGTTGCTATGTCTCATTCAGAGACAAGCAAGCTTGTCTGATATTCTGTCCCAGACCTTGGTGAAAATTAAAGGCGTGGCTGACAGCCATTTCTTCCAGTCTTCTCTTCTCCATCCTTTTAGTCTAGTGAGGCTGGTAGACCAGTCTGGCAGTACACCCCCCCCCCCAAATGGTGGAGACATGAGCAGATCACCAGACACACAAGCTTTTCCTTCTGTGAAATCAGTCTGCTCGTGTTTGCCAGGATCCACCACGTGTAGGACACAGTGCTCTGTGCTAGAGGGTGTGGGATACGAGGGAGGAGAACGGTAAACTTTGTGTGTGAGTGTGTGTGTGAGTGTGTGTGTGTGTGTGTGTGTGTTTAGGGGTGCTTTCTTCCTTTTGAAAGGATATTTCCAGGTACATGCATTTTAATAAAAAATATATTAACCATTTCTTCCACCCAAGGATGGAAGATGCTTTAATATCACCATAATAAGTTTTGCATTATTCTGTATAACAATTAGGAAAGGCTTATACAGAAAAATACTATTTTGAACACACACCTTCTGAGACAGGGCTGGACTTGGAAACAGAGGTGAAAATGACACACAGCGTACGTCAATGGGAGCTTCTTATTAATGTTCAACTGCTTGGGTGCTTTTTTTGGACTTCAGGGAAAGTCATGTTATTTTTCATGCGTCGTACATAAATCTATATGAATTATCTCACAGCAACAATCCTATAAGGTAGACACCATTAGTATCACATTCCAAATTTTAAAAAAAAGAAGGTTCAGAGCGGTTAAGTCACATGCCTGAGGTCACACAGCTGATATGTGAAGGAACCGTCACCTGGACCCCAGGTTACTAAGTCCAAAGCACCTGTGTTCTTGCTCCTCCCTGGAATTTTATTGAAGGGCAGTGAAAGAGTTCATTCGGGCATGTCGAACCAGTGCTGCTTTATTACTGTCATCGGCAACTTATTCCCTACGGAGCCCGGGTGTTTTTGCAGTGCTAACTGATGCACACCCCCATCCTGTCCTTTGTGACATTCCTGTCCCTGCTTCCACAGCCAGGCAGAGGAACAAGGGAAATAGGAAGTTAAATGAACTCCCCAAAGGGCAGTCACCAGAAGTCAATGGGTATTTGCTTTATTCTATTTGTTTGATTTAGAACAAAACAAAACAACGAGTGTTCCCTGCCTCTGGGTCCAAGGACTTAGCAGCAGATTTAACAACAGAGGTTCCCATGAATAATGAAAGAATTTCCAAGTTGTCTGAAAATGACCATGACATCAAAGAGACATACCAAAATGAAGCTCAGGTGTTTACTTCCTTTCCCAAGTGACCCAAGCCTCAGCAGCATCATATCCATCACCTGGGCTCTTATTAGATATGCAGGGCCTCGGCCCCCTCGCCCACACCTGCTGGAGCAGAACTACATTCTACTACTGTCCCCAGGTGACTTGCCCAGTACCTCCCAGCCAAGGCCAGGGCCAGGATGAAGTGACGGAGTCACTCAACAGGGTCTAAAATTTGAGTGCCCCAAAATGCAGTGATCAACATGAGCAATTATTTAATGCAATATTTTAAAAATATTTTAAAAAAAATTTAAAGGTAGCGGAACATCTGCAGTATTCTCCTTTCTGGATCCTTGGGGGAGAGGGCAGGAGAAAAGGCTAGAGAAGGTCTGGGAGTTTTGATTTCTTCTTTTCTCTAGATAGTCTGAGTTTTCAGCAAGAGAAATTGCATTGAGTTGTTTCTATTTTGGTCCCCATACCTCTACATTATTGGATTTTCCATAACTGTAATTATACACAAAGAATGTACCATTACAACCTGAACATTTAAGTTCCAAGTTCAGTTCGACTGCCGAACATAGATCATACTAATGACGATGAAAATGATCAGAGTAAGTAGGTAACGTTTATCGAGGCCTTGCTGTATGCTAAGTGCATTACATGAATGAACTTATTTCATTTTTACAAGAACCCTATGAGGGAGGTACCGTTTTTATCTCCACTTTAGAGATGAGGAGATGGAGGGATACAGAAGTTAGGTAGCTGGTCTGAGGTTGTCCAGTTTGTAGTAACTACAGGAGGACGAATTCAGATCCAGGCAACTCGCTCCAGAGACTGCTCTCTTTACTGCTTTACAAATCTACAAATAAAATGTGAAAAATGAATTTATATGGTATCCAAAGTTCTAAAGCAAATTTATGCACGCTTTTATTCCTTCAGTGTGCAAGTATTAGGTTGCCAAGTGTCTTTTTATTTTGAAAATGTCCCTTTTTACATTTGTTTATGTTAAAATGCTCTTTAATAAAACAATGAAATGAGAGTAATAGACGATAGTAGTTGCCTTTTAAAAATGTCCATAAAATTTTGGCTGCCATTTTCTTTTTAATTAAGCCAGGAGTGGGTTGGGGAGAAGACGCTTTTTAGTTGGAGGGAAGACAAATATTTCAGGGTCCTCCTTGCTATGCTGGCAGCACCTATGAGCCCAAGTGGGCCCCATGTGGCCCTGCCCCGCCCCGTCTTTGCTTCTGCTGCAGCCCCTGCTCTTGCCTCTCTGGCTGGTGTCTGTGTGGAACTCATTAGCAGTGGGTGTGTGTCTCGCAACAGTGGCTCATTCTCAGGGCTGCCAGCAGTGCCAGGGATCGGGGCCACCTCTCTGGCTGTCCTGGGAGGCTGCCTCTCTGGGCTGTCCAGTACAAAGCTGGGCTGCACCCTCTCATGGCCCTGCAGACTTTGGTGCCCCCACAGGAGGTGTCCTAAGATCGAGGAGGAAAGGTGCCTTGGAGATGGCATTGTCACCACCGGATCCTGCCTCTCAAGGAAGACTCTAGGTGGCCACCTGCAGCTCGGTGACCTTCGTGGTGGTGGAGAGAGTAGGCACTGGATTTAATGCGCCTGGCCTCTCCATCTGCCAGCCCGGGGGGGAAGATGCCAGCGACACTGGCCAGCCTGGATGAGGGACAGGAATAGTGGCACAGAGATCCCAGCAAAGGGAACTGGCTTTTGTGGACACAAGCTCAGTGCCGTTGTATTTATGCCTTGACCACGCTGTTGCAGCTGTCCCCTCCGTACCTCTCTGTATGCTGTGCACTGTTTCTATACCTGCTACTCACGTCCTGACCTCCATATGATTCAGGGTTTGTTTTTAATTCTGGCTTGGGCGTTGCTGCTGCCAAAGCCAAGGCTCAAGGCTCAGCCTGGACTGTTGATCCTATGTTAGGAGTTTCCGAAAGTTTGTTTTGGCCCAGCTGTGAGAGAACTGGCGTGGGCTGGGCCCCGTTGCCAGATTGTGGTGCCTGGGGACACGCACTTGGGGCATTCTTTCCATCTCTGTCTTTGTCTGGTCTCCTCCTCATTAAATCTTCCTGGGTCTGTGGAGTTGACTACCAATTGGTGCCTGACCTACTTACAGGGAGCCACCACATTCCCCTTTACTCATCATAATAAATGGATCATAACGGCTGGTTCACTGTGATTCAAAGTGGACTCTTATTTTAGAGTCATTTCTACCTCCTTGGGGTGTGTATTTCTGCATGTGGATACATATATGTATTCGTGTGCGTGGATGCACGTACATCCAGGTGTGCGGGTGCGTGTGCGTGCTGTGCAGCTGCCTGAATGAAGGCTGGCGTTTTCCATTGCTATGTTGGGATTTTGCTTTTGGACAGCAGTCCCGTTGCTTTGTATCGAAGAATAGTTAAAGGGCTCGCTGTTTTCCCTGCGTCCACCCCCTTTCATTTTCTACTTGGAGCACTTTCTCTCAAGCCCGGGTGCTCACATTTTCTGCTCTTGGTGTCAGCTCTGTTTGCCTCTCTTCTGCCAAAGGGCACCATGGAGTTACTCAAAGGACCTTTTGAACTGTTTGTTCAATGAATGAAGAGCTCATTCGGGACAGTTACTGGGACAGCACATGCTTCCAACTGGTCCCTGACTCATGCCTTTTGGCTTCTGCCTCTGCTGATCTCAGAAGCCACATGGGATGTTGGTTTTTTTGGTGTATCCCGGTGTCTGACCTTTCCAACACCATTTTATCATGCATTTTGAAAGATACTTCCACCTAACAAGCTGCATTTATAAAGTAATAACCAATCTGTGTTCTCATTTTTAATTAATCATATATACATTATTGTCAATCAGAGTTTCCAATCAGTAAGAGTTAATCAGAGTTAACATTTATTTATTTACCAAGCACCTTCTATATGGCTGACCTATGCCAGGTGCTGGGGATAGAAAAGTGAACAAGATTAGCGGGAGTCTTAGTGGGAGTTTCCAATATATAATATTCCTGTTAACTCATCATTTTAATTTGGGTAAAATTTACTGAGCACCCTTTGTGTGTTTGGAGTGGTGCCGAGTGCCTCGAGTGTATCACCTCTTTACCTGCTCAGAGCGACCCGGTGAGTTAGGCATTAGAGACACACCACTTTTCACGTGAGGAAACTGACAAGAGTTACAGAGTTGAGTCATTCGCTCCAGGTCACACATTTAATTACAAGGCAGAGGATTTGAACTCAGGATTATAATACTCTAAAACTTTCCCATGGATATTACAGTCACCAACTCCCTGAATTCCTTCCTTTTCTTTTCTACTGGGTAGGTGTTTGCTTTTGTGGGCAGGAGAGTGCCCTATGTTTTCTCCATGTTCTACTGCCTCTAGTTTAGGGTTTTCCCCTCAGTTTTACTGAGATATAATTGACATATAACATTGTACTAGTCCAAGGTGTACAATATAATGATGTGATATAAGTATACATTGCAAAATGATTACCACACTTAATTAACATCAATCACCTCACATAGTTACAAATTTTTGTTCTTGTGATGAGAACTTTTAAGATCTACTCTCTTCGCAACTTTCAAATATATAATACATGATTGTTTGAAGTCTCTGTTTATAGTTTAGTTTGAAGTCTCTGAATGAGTCTGTTCAACAAATGAGTCTGTTGCCTCATAGAATAAATGGAGCTTCAAGTTTCCTAAGACATTCAACTTACTCACCTCCTGATTGCTTAGATGGGGAAACTGAGTAGCAAAGGGGCTTGCCCGTGGTCACAGTGTCAGAGTCTGAGCTTGAACTCAGCACCCCTGATGTGCAGGCCAGTTGTGTTGATCACAGCACATTTCCTTGTTACTGGCTAATTTATTCTGAGCTAGGTGGCACATCTCAAGATATCTTCTGGGTAATTCTATCCAGGCATGAGGTTAGAGCAGCCAAAATTAGATGATGATGCAAGCTCATTAAGTGCAAGGTCTAATTTTGTCCACCCCTTTGTCCCCAGTCTCCAGCACATTCCCACGTCCACCCTAGGAGGTCAGCAGGTGTGTGTTGGATGAATGAACTGGATGAAATGAAGGGGGGCCTCCAGGGATAATCCTCTCGTGCTATCTTTTTGGTAGTTGCTGACCTCCCTTCTTGGATTCTTCCATACCACAGGGTACTTTAGAATCAAATTGATGGTATCCTTATTTAATTTGACACTTCGATGATTCAGTCACTTAGTATCGTAAACTATTTTCCTGTTTCTATTTTGGAATAAACTGGCTGGTTCTTTTGGTACCTCTTGACAGAATAGGGGTTTTTTATTGTTTTTTGGGGGGCTTTTTGGCTGTCCGGGAAATTGGTAGAGGGATCTCAGTTATTAGACCACTAGTTCACTTTGGGTGTGGCCAGCTCACATACCTTCCTTGCGAGAGAGACACTATAAGTTGCATGATGAGACTATAAAATTACAAATTTATGTCTAGGACAGATAATATTTTTAAAAATTATAAAGAAATGAGGAGGAGAGGGAAAAAAACACTCATGGTTCATTCACTCTGACTCATAAATTGTCCTTATTTTTCTCCTCCCTTCCAGTACTCAACTTAGTCAGGAATATTTTTACATCATTATAATTGGAGTAAAGACTGTGTTTCATAATGAACCACATTGAAATATCCCAACATGTTCTTCCACATTGCTTTACAATTCACATAATTTCAGCTTTGGGGAAGGACTGCTATTTCATGCAGGGTGTATACTGTGTCTTACTTCAAAATTGTCCTATTGCAAGAAGACAATTTTGGCTTTATGTGAATGGAAAGATGTAATTCTTATTGGGAATCTGGGTGAAATAAAACGGGATTAGAAAAGATTTGCAATACCTAGAAGGTCCCGTACTTCAAGTCAGTTATTCCATATTCATCAGCTTGTTAAAGCTCAAATGCTCTGTTTCCTTAAAGAAAAAAAAAAAGAACACTTGAAGCATGCATAGAGAAGCCTAGAATTGGTCAATACCAGAATTGTTTTGGTCCTTTTTCTAGTTTTAATAATTCAGATAGTTAAGATGCCTTTAAAAGCAAGCATCTTTCCTGATTGCCAGGAGCATTTTCCTCATTTCTGAAGATGGGTAGCATTTAACTACCACAGCAATAAACATTGAAAGCTGAGTACTTAGGAAAGCTGACCTGGTCTTTAAACTTCTTCAGGAAAAAAAATCAGAAAGGCAGAAAACAGCTGAAGTAAATCCATCTGCTCACGTTCAGGTCAAAAGCCTGTGAGGATTAGTCCTTAAAGGAAGTTATGGGGTTTTAGGGGATGTGGCTGCAGAAGTGATCTGGTGACGAGCTGACTTGGAAGAGAAGGTTGGGAGAGCTGTCATTAATTCTGTTTGTGTCGTAATTCGGCAAGGTCACTGGAGAGATCTTCCTTAGGCCACTAAAAATAGACAGTCTAATAGATCCAAGCATGCTGTCATCTCTCCTCTCCTTTCCTTTCGTCGTGTCTTATTTTGGGAGCTCTCTTCATTCTTCTCACCCGCCTGCCTCCTCTGTCACTCTGTGCTTGCTTTGGATAAGCCATTTGTCCCCGTGTGTCGGGCATGAGAGGGAAGGAAGGGAATGTCAGGACCCCCGCTCACCTTGCAGCTATCAGATCCATCCTTCCTTCCATCCTCCTTCCCTCCCCCTACCTTTCTGTCTCACCTTAACTTGGCCCCCAATTCTATGTGTTTATCTCTGCAAAGAAACTGGCACATAGAACTACTCAATATGTAATTATTGAATCAGTGAAGGAAAGAATAAATGAATGAACGGTGAGAGCTGTGGAGAAGGCAGTGTTCTAGTGAGGGAACAGTGGGGCTAGGAAGACCTCTCCCTCCCTTCAGTGTACATCCCATTACTGTTGTAATACCCTCCTCTTTCCACTCCCTTGTGCCCACCCCCACTTCCTATGTAATATGTCACCTGTTCACCTATGTGTTCTCTCTGTCTAGTCATCTGTCTGTTGTTGTGTACATCTGTCCCTATCTAAACATGCACATCCACTCAGCATGAGGTTCTGTAAAAATTCCAGGGAGTCATTTAACTCCTGGATTCATTATTTCTATTTTTCCCCTCTTGATTCTGTGAATTTCATGCAGATGTTTGTGAACAAAATCTTACTCCCAACCCTGCTATGTATAAAATGGACAAACCAGAGCCTGTGTGAATTAAATAGAAGAAAGGAGGAAGCTGTGGGGATCCCAGAACCCTCCACCCATACTGCCCTCACCCACCATAGTCTGCAGTAGCCTTTGGGGTATCTGGGAATTACCCAGTCTCTGCTAAACACAATTAATAGAATCACTGGATTAGATCACCACCGAGTTTCCATTTTGCCCTTACATCCCGTGATTTGTGATGTCCCTCAAACTTCAAGTCTGCATCTCTGTGTTTAAGGTTTGTAGCAAATGCAGATAATCATGCAGTGGGTGCTATAGGAGCTAAAATTACTGCAGACAACAGAGCTTCTGCTCCTCATAAGCTCACAGGGATTGGGGGTGGCAGACAAATGTAATTATTCCCTAAAACAATGAGGTATCCTAGGACTTAAGGCCAGAATGGTTGATAAAGATTATAAGCAGTAGGTATTGCCTCTCATTCCATCAAATATTGATTGAGCATCACAGCTGATTTAAAGGGATCCTAAGATTAAAACCATTTTAAATGTTCTGTGTCATTCGTCACTATGGTTTGCTGTTTATTTTTCTGTTCACATCCTAGCTCTGCCACTGGATGAAAGCTCTGCAGAAATAGCGGCTGTGATGTTTGTACTCTAGGGTCTTGAGTAGGATCTGGTACACAGTAGATACTCAAGAAACATTGATGGACAGGTTGAATGGTTGGTAGGGATGATGCTGTGATGAGCTGTGTGTGTAAAGTTGGGAAAGGAAGGTGAATTATCAGAAGGTAATCATTTTGTTAGGGCCTTGGAGGACAAGAAGTTTATAAAGATGAAAAGATGAAAATGCATTCTGTGTAAGGCAAAAGCAGGAGCAATGGTAGGGAAAAGTGAGATCATATGGTAAGTTGAGCAAAAAAAGATCAGTTCCGGGAAGGAGCTGCCCTAGGTGAAGCTGAAGGCCGGCTGAGCTCGCTCATGAAGGGCCTTCCCTGGGGGTCAGGGTGAGGTGAGTACGGAAGCCCTGGAGTCAGATTGCCTGGGTTTGAAGCCTTAAAAGCTGGGAGACTGGGGTACATTAACTCAGCCTCTCTGTTTTATGTTTCTCCATTTTCAAATTAATGTGACGATCCATGTAAGCACAGACCTAGAACAAAGCAGGCTTGCTTGTTGTTAAAAACAGAAGAGGCCAACCCAAGGAGACATTCGATGCTTTGAAATCAGGAGTGGCACAAGCAGACTCATGGTGTAGAGTGAGCATGTAGCAGCGTGTGGAGGATGGACTGGCTCTCAAGTCCTCCTGGGAGAAAGATGCTGCCTGCATCCTCCCCCAACCCCTTCCTTCCCTTACCTGCTAGAGACTCTGAGTGTCCTCCATGTGCCAGCACTGCCAAATAAATCTAGTTCCATTATGTTTACTCTCAGGATATTGCTCGTTGCCTAAGGCAGGGTCATCTATGTGAGAACCAATTGGATAAATAACTGTCTGGCATCAGTATCTGGAATGGCTGTGATCTAACTGAGGACCAGGTCTCCCTTCATGGGCACGTGGTCTTGCACCTGATCGTGTTTTCCTGTCCCTTTGTGTGACGCAGCCCTGGCAAGTGTATGACTTCTTAGCCAGAGCTCTGCCTGTGAACCTTGGTTCAAATTATTTTATGCTGTCATCTCTCCTTTTCTCACTTTTGTTATGTAAAGCAGTACTATATGTTTTCTGTGCTATATGCATCTTTGCAGGCAGCCTTAAATTCCCTTTGGAATAAAATGGGATGTGCATAAAATGCATGACGTGAATTGTAGAGAGAGGCAGGGTGGGTTCTGTGCCCAGTGAGTTTTCAACCTAGTTTCTTCTCCAGGAAGACCTAGATTCCTGGAGATTTCTAGACTCTGCTCTCACCTCCACCACCAGGTGGGGACTGACATTTGTCTCTTCCTGTCATTCTGTCTCTGCCCTTGGAAGAGAACCAACGTCATTCCCCTCACACATATGATCTGACACGGGGTATTGATGAGGATCCTGCAGAGAAACTGTGGGATGTCTGGGGCAGGGTCTCTGTGGGCCCTGCTCATCACCCACTTGCCACTCGGGGCCTCAGTCTCTCCTTCCATAAAATAATTGCAGCGTGATGGATCAGTGTCCCCTCCTTCAGTCATTCATGTTTGTCTTCACAATATCTGGGTACCACCCACACTGTTATTTACTTAATATTTTCTTTTGACTCATTCTGCTTCCCTTAAATATTTTTAAAGAAAATTATATCATTATCATTGATGGCAAACTAGTACCTCTTATCATAAATAGAAGGTAACCCCCAAATAGATAAAATTAAAAGGAAACTATAATACAGTTGAGTCTACTCTGAGCCTGAGACTGCCTTTTCTGTTAAAAGAGAGATTTGCTCAGGAATCACTGCAAATGGAGACATTCCCTTTGCTGAGATCAAGATTGAAAGGTAATTGAAAAGGTACTTCTCTGCTTCCTGATTCATTATCATTTAATGCCAATAATAGTAATTTGTTGGGCCCCTATGGTGTCAGGCATTGCACTATTTTTTGTATGTCTTTGTATAGAGTCTGTATAACAGAAAAGTGATAAATTTTTGATCATGATGACGCTGACGAATATTTAGTGAACAATTAATTTGCGCCAGAAACAGTAGTATACTTTACATGTATTATCTCATTTGTCCCCACCACCAGGGGCTCTGTGGGGTGTTGTAGCGCCCGTGTTACAGGTAAGGAAACAGTCCTAAGTCATGCAGCCGGTGAGGAGTCAAGCCCCATATTGGGAACAGGCAGGACTCTGAGTTCACACCCCAGCAGAGGCTGCGCTTCCTGCCACCGTCTGTCTAATCCACAGTGTGGCCCCCTGCTCTCTTCCTGCTTGCTGGTGACAGGCCCACTTGGTCTGGCTCCTGGACAGGGTCATCTGGCTTTCTGCAAGGTGACTGGACCATCTTGTCAGGGACCGTGAAACCTGGCTGTGTTTACACGTCTCCCCAAGAGCTAAAGGAAGACTGTGCTTGCCCTTATGATCCCCTGCACATGCAGTGTCCTCTTAAAGATGGCTTCATCATGATACCAGGTTTGCCCCATGGAAACACAAACTCATAATGACTATTAGAGAGGGAAAGATCCCAGAGATCTTCTAGCTTACTCTTTTCCCAACTGTGGTCAGAACTCTGCTGGAAGGAGTTGGGCTGCTTTTAGCTGGGGAACTGACTTTTTCAATTACAGAATTTTGTAGACTCAGAATAGGAAAGGACCTTACTGACCATCAAGTTCAGCCCAGTCCCCAGGGTCAAAATTTTGTATAAGTTGCTGGATAAGGAATGTGGTTTAAATATTTTAAGAAATAAGTGATCAACATGTTAATAGTGTGTGTGTGTAACTTACACACTTACAGTTTCACACAGCTACAGATATCAAAGCCAGATATCCAGCCCAGGCTGAATTTTGAAAACCTGTTTCAAAATTCAGCCTGGTTTTCTTGGCTGAAGCCTTAAGACAGAGATTTAATAAGTGGATATTGCAGTGGAGGACCTCACAGAGCCTCTGATTTGAGTATAGATAGGACCATTTGCCTGTCACTTCCACACTAATGATCCAAACCTAGTCTAATAAGATGACCCAACTCACAACTGTGGACAACGCCATTTTTCTCTTCATTTTCCGTTCTTATCATTGAAATTGGTAAAAATGGACTTCACTTGTAATCATTTGAAAAATTTTTTAAAAGATGAAAAGAAAGGGATGATGGTGTGTGTGTGTGTGTGTGTGTGTGGGTGTGGGTGT